CAACAGTTACATATTATTTATTAGAGAATAATAATGAGAGTTAAAGAAATTACAGGAAATAAAGTGATAAAATAAGAAATTTTAATTAAAACAGTTGGGTTAAGGAAAGAGCCAAATTATTAGACTGAAAAATTGGAGCCCAGATTATTTTCATTTCTTCAGCTATATAAGAATATGAATGTCCATCAGCTTTACTTGTATTATAAAAGGGGAAAAGTGCTTAAAATATGTATCTTACATTATTTTTTAAAAATATAGTCTATGAATGATTTCCCCAGAATTTTGGAGATGATACAAGCCTTGTAGAAAGCTTAGAGCATAATGTCCAGCTGAAGACTTGGCAGCTGCAGAGTTACTGAGAGAACAGGTGCTTTCTCCTCCAGGGTTTCAGCCTTTCCACCTCTCAGCCTGCCACCCAGTCATCCCCACCACCATTTGGGGTTCTGAGTGACAGCTTGGACAACGTTAGCTGAAGGAGCACTACGCCAGGCTAAGCAGGACACAGTACACTCAAGGTCATCGGGCTATAGTATAATAACTTATAAAAAGCAAACTCCTTTAATTAGTATGCACTAACAAAAGGACACAAGCATTTTGTTTCTGCTTTTCAATTTGGACAAACTTCCTGCAAGTTTATACTTTAGGAACAAGAAACTCTTCATTATTTTTTAACAAGAAGTATTCAGTTACTGCAAAGGTTGGAAAAAATCACAAGAAATATGAGATTATTGCATTCAGTCAGAGTTACACTGAACCTGATGCCAACAATTCCATATAAGTCAATAGCAGGTGGGAAATGGACACCTGTTTCTAGAACAGAGAAGATGGCTGTGCTGAAGTTCATGACTATTATCAGAAAGTAAACGTTAATAAAAGAACAACTATTTAATTCAAAATTTTCATATGTGAGTTTAGAATAAAGAAGAATGAAGCATGTTTCAACCAATCTGATTCCTAAGCTTTGTAAAACACTCTAGCTAAACAGAATGTTTCACAAAGTAAGAGAGCTCAGTAGGCTGTGTGCATTGTGGACACATAAGTCAGCTGAGATCTAGCCTAGATATTCTAGACATGATCCATTCTAAAACAAGAGCAAAAAATTAAATTAGAATTTCGTTTATCATACATTAAAATGGATTCTCGATGAATACATTTAAATGTGAAATAGGAAACTAATATTTTAAGCTTGAAGAAATATCAGTAGTTCTTGAATTAGTCTTTGGATGAAGACTCAAGAGCAAAAATACCAAAATAAAATATCAATATACCTAGCCACATTAAAAACTAAAGAATCTAGACACACACATGCATATCACATATATGCACGCACATGTCTATTCACATAGACAGAAACTCTTACATTAACTACAAAACTGAGAAATGTATTTGTAAAAGTGACGTATACCCAAAGGACACATATCATCAGGCAAAATGGGCAGTGAGTGTGAACAGTTACACAGGAAATAAACATAAAAAACTATAAATCATATTTAAATCCTTCAATCTACAAATAACAAGCAATGAAAAGATATAGTGAAAGAAAATATCTCCACTTGAGTACTATGCAGCTTTTTAAAAAGAATGAGGGAAATATCTATTTACTGATATAGCAAGATCTCTAGGGTATATTGTTACATTATAAAGCCAGAATATAAGATCTGTTGAATTTTGTGTAGACATAGGGAGAAACAATAATGTATACTGTCTTATAAATGCAAAATGAAGTTATGAAAAGATGCACATAAAGCTCATAGAAGTGATCCACTGTGTGTGTGAGGAGGTGTAGATGGAACAGGATGAGAGGGTGGGAACAAAGCAGAAAGAAGCTTTTCACAAGGCATCTTCATGAGTTAAACAGTGAGTATGTGTTGCCTATTCTCAGCAAATAAATAAAAACCAAAGAAAGTGAAAATTTTAGAAGTCCAATCTAATAGGTAACCAAACAATGCAAGTTAAAACAATGAAGTACACTTTCTTACCTATCAAATTGGCAATTATTTTCTGAAATAATATCCTCATTGTTGGCTAAAGCAGTCTCAAAACTGCCAGGGGAAAAATCGATACATTTGTAGAAAGGAAATCAGTAACAGAGTTCAAGAGAGTCTTTAAGCATTTTACTTCCTTCAGCTCAGAAACTGTTCTTGACCCATTCAATTCTAAGGAAAATTATCATAACATAACTAAAAACAATAAATATTTGGTCATCTAAAATCTGACATAAAGAAGAAAGGTTGAACAGGGAGGGACCAGCATGTAAAAAACAGCAGTAAGAATAATCCCATACCTTTTTTTTCAGGTTTTTCTTTTGCTTTTTCTTTGTCTTTTTCTTTTTCTCTGTGTGTAACTGGAAAGAAACAAACAATATTTTTCACTTTAATGAAACGAATAAATGATGAGACAATTGCACAGCAGTCTCTGATGTTAAAAATATCTACTGCCTTTGGAAATCCTTCTTTAACTGGCATGGGGTTTTACATACTTAGAGGTTTAAATGTTAATTATATATATTTTCAATTTCTATTTTTTAACTTCATATCCAAGGAAAAAGTCTTACCAAAACTGTCTGATTATTGCAAAGAACACCCCTCAGCTTTTTTAAATCTTTAACTTTAATTTAATGAATTGGAAATTAAAAAAAAAAGTATCATGCTATATGCCAAAGAAGCCCAGTTCAGTAGTAGAGGAACACCAGAAATATAAGGGCAAAAATACAGAGATAATCTGAACTTGAAACAAAGAATACTCAATGAAGATAGCATATGTTAATCTTCTACAGAATAAGCCCACGCTAGAAGTTTTGAAAATATACTGGGGTGAGACTAGTATGACACCAAATCCTTTCAAAGAAAACAAAATTTAATTCAATATGAGCTATGATTCAATTAATTAATATAGTAGGACTCAAATTTAAGTCATCATCTTCCCCACAATTTAATTATAACTCTTATTAATAGTGCCTCCAATTATCCAAGCTAGGAGCTTGGGACTCATCCAAGATTCATCTTTTATTTTTCATTTTTGTTCATTTGCCAAGCTTCTTCAATCCTACCTTTTTAATATTCCTCTTACCCATCTTCTTTTATCCAATATTACATTCCTTACCTATCATTTACACAAAAATATAGAAAGAGCACCTGCTGTGTGCTAAAGACTTGGCTAGGCAAGACAGACTTTATCCCTGTTATCATGAGGTCAACAAGCTAATGGATGATGGATGCTACAGGAATAATTACACAGGTAATTCTGCTGCTAGAATAATTGCTATGAAGAAAATATTCAGGGTGGCGTGTCAATGTATAAAAAGCAAGACCTAATCTAGTCTGTGTGCTTGGGGAAGGTCTGTTGGTAGAAATGACACTTAAGGATGTGAAAGATGAGAAGAAATTAACCTAGTAAGGGAATGAGAAGGAGAAAGGGGAAAGAGATCATTTCAAAAGTTGGACTATGATGTCCTTCTTGGGCATATTATTATTATAAATATTATTACAATAATATCCTGAATAGTGTCTTGAACCCTTAGAGTTAGATTATTCTGAGTCTCAGAATAGCCTCCTAACATGAAAATCTGATTATACTGTTGAGCTCATACCAGTATTAATATCTCTCTCATTGCTTAGCATGAGTATATGTCACATGGTAGGCACTATATCAAATATAAAAATATTTTATTGTTCTAGTGATCTGACATTTGCTTATCAACCCAATCTTATCTACTAGGCATTTCTCTTTGAACTTTACATTCCAGTTACAACAAATGCTTGGCTCTCCATAAACGCACCATGGGTCCTCCTAATGCCTTGTACCCTTGCCTGCTTGTGCCCTCCACCTAGAAGTCCCACACCCACGTTTCCTCTATTCCCTGCACTCTTTCCGCCCTGGCTCAAACACCTCTTCCTCTACGAAGTGCTCTTTGATTTCTACTTATTCCCTATGCCAGGTGCACAATGTGCATAATTCTATTTTATCAGTTAAGTAACAATATAGCAGCTGTTCATAAATCTGACTCCCCAGCAGGTAAAGTCTCTTTTACGGGCTACCCCGTATTATTTTATTTCTGTATCCTGGCTCATCACATGGTGTCTGTCACATAGTGGACACTTCATAGATTATTCTTTTTTAAAAAAAATGTTTTATTGAAGTTTAGTTGATTTACAATGTTAGTTTCAAGTGTACAACAAAGTGATTCCGTTATACACATACATACACATACATACATTCTTTTCAGATTCTTTTCCATTATATGTTATTAGAAGAAATTGAATATAGTTCCCTGTGCTATACAGTAGGTCCTTGGTGTTTATCTATTTTATACATAGCAATGTATGTCTGTTAATCCTCAATCCCTAATCTTCCCTTCCCCACCCTTTCCCCTTTGGTAACCACAGTTTGTTTCCTATGTCTGTGAGTCTGTTTTCAGTCTGTAAATAGAATTTGTATTTTTTTTTTTAGATTCCACATATAAGTGATATCATATGATAGTTGTCTTTCTCTGTCTGACTTACTTCACTTAATATGGTAATCTCTAGGTCCATCCATGTTAATAGATATTCTTGAACAAGTGAAATTCTAAAATATTATAAGAAGAGCTCTTTTCATCCTCTAGTACAATTCCATTTATTAATGACGTAGTTAAATATAATATGCACTGCTTGCTTCCAGCCATTTAAAATTTTTGCAATTTGTTAAAATTTCTTAAATAATTGAATCCCAATGATAAACAGAAGGAAAAAAAAAACAGAGATCATCTGGACATTATTTTTCCTTTCGACATTCAATGGCTCTCTTGGGTGTTTCTAAGTCACTAAGTTCAGTATAAAAATTTCACAAAATAAGAGGAGAATTCCAGCACTCACACATGACCACAAATAGCTTATTTTGGTTCCTTTGGATCACTATTAATTAAGCTGAAAACCAAAAGAAAATCTTGGCAAAAACAAAGCCCATTTTAAAGTTTCTCTAGGGGAAAGGAAGTTTGCATGAGATAAGCTGTGTTTTCAGAACGCTGATTGGCAAGACCCCCAGGAGAACACCTAATCTGTGTCTCTGCGTCCGTGGAGGACCAGACCTCAGCCACCTCGGACAGCTGCTTGTCCCTTCCACTAAAGGATTTTCCAGTTGACATGTGCATGAGCATAAACGGGAAAATTGATACCAAATCAAAAGAGCAAGGGGGCTGAATTCAGACTCAAATTAGCATATTAATGCCTTGTTTCTGTTACCCTGGGGAAAAACCCTGTTCCTCGCAATCTAAGTTTTGATTTACAGACACAGTCCAGTATGCTGGAATTTTATTACCCCCCTCAGAAATGGTACCATAACACTGCTTAGTGAAGCAGCTGGAACCACATGCTCTAGGGAGCTGTTCAAAATGGCAGATGGTCCCTGAAGGTTCTTGGATGGAAACTCCAAACTTTGGCAAGACTGAGCTCAAACACCAAGTTTTGAAATTGCTTTTATCAAAAAAATGCAACCATCAACAACTGCCTTAATAATCACTCTAAAATTTAAAAAAAAATTGTAGCAACGACTGCATTTACTCGTGCATCTCTTTACTTGGAACCCACAGAAGTTCTCATATGAAAGAAGAAAAAAATACCTTCCACTGTCACCAGCTCTGTTTGGCAAGTTACATCTTAGCTAGGACAGTTTTAGCTCAGGACAAAATAAGCTTGGAGCACCTGCTAGAGCTTAATTTGTTTGTCATCCTTATTTACAAGAAACAAAAGTCCCTTCGGCATGCTGATAATTAAAAACAAATGGGATACACCAGTTGGAATGGCCCTGATGTTTGGCATCTGAGTTGGCATGGCCCTGCTGTTCCTGCACTTGCCCAGACTCTGACCTTTCCCTGACCAGAACATTCAGCTCAACTCAACTCCAAAGCGCGTCTCTCACCCTCCCCATATGTTCCCTCTCCAGGACTCTGCCAGCTGTGCTCTGTGCTTTCCCAGTTCTTGGCCCTGGCAACCCTCCAGGCAAGCTCTGTGTCCTTTTCTGAAGCCTATCAGAGCTCACAGGGCACCTGACCCTGGGTTCTTAACGGGCAAAACACTCTCTAGGGGAAGCAGCAGGCATTCAGGGCCAGGTTGCCAGAATCCTTTGCTGATCTCTCTGCTCTTAGTTCAAAAATCAAAAGTTTTGGCATCCCAAATTTTAAAGTCCTGATTTGTATAAGCTACTATATTCTTCAATTTGATGGTTAGCAAGAAAATTTAATTAACCAAACTCTGGACTACATTCTTGACTTCAGAGATACCGGACAGGACTAATCTTGCATGCCTAAATCCAAAGTATTCACATAGACAAGCAAGTAACCATTACCCCTTTGTGTTATAAAAGACTTTGGGGAGCACAGGTTTCACTGATTTTATTTTGAATTACTTTCCCCAGGTCTCAGATTTCTGGTACTTCTGTTGTGGGAGGTGTTAGCCTGGAGCGGTCTATAAATTTTAGATAGGTCAACGCTTTAAACAACTTCATAAAACTCATATGCATCCATGTTTCAATTCATCGTTTTTTATGAAAGAGCAAGACACACATTTATTTTAAAACCATTTCAAAAAATTCCGCTTTAGCCACCATTAAACAAAAATGCCAGATGTACTCTTGGTTAGTGTATGTCTCTGTATGTGTAACCCTTCCTTCCTTCCTTCCTCCTTCCTCCCTCCCTCCCTTTCTTTCTTCTTTGTAATTTTAGCTTGTCAAATTTCCATTCTGTCCTAAGACAAAATGATCTAAACACTTTAAATGATAATGATGAACTCAGTAGAAAAGCATTCTTGAGAAGAGAAACTTCTCAAAGATTGTATTATTCATTCTTCTTAAAGGAAGGATTTATCATTTTTATTTTAATATAAGCACATAATTTTAGAGCTGGTAGGAACCTAAGAGATCAGTTAGCCTGAACTTCTTTGTCCATAGACAAGAAAATACAGCCTCATAAGCGTCCATGGTTAGTACAAAAGGATATAATTATTAGATTGCTGAACTAGTACCCCTTCCCCAAAGTCATGCTGCCTTCTCCATCCCTGGTCCTGTGCAGACGATAAACTTGTTCTTATGAGACAAAGTGGGCTGACTGTATTCTCCAAGCATGTTATCTACAATCTATCCTACAATAATGCACACACTTCTTTTTCATAATAAAATTTTATTTGTTTATGTATTAAAGTGAAGATTAGGCAAATTACCTAAAGTTACGAAGCCCATCTGATACATGTGCTTTCAATCCCCAAACAGATTTTTTTCAGTCTAACGGATTTGTTTTACACTCAAATCTGATTTAATTGTACGGGTAATTTCCCCTTTGCCTGCGGCTGCACGGCCTTAGTCAGAACCACGATCACTTCCTCACCAGTGAACAATCACGGGGGAGGAGGAGACGCATAGCTTCCCGGAGGGCCTTCTGTTCTCATTGTCCAGGTTTATTTTTCACAGCAGCCAAAGAGGGAAAGAAAATGCATTTTGTACTTTAAGGAGTCAATTAAGTACAGCTGAGAGAACGCAAGAGTACGTTTATACAATACAGGCTGACTAAATTAATCTGTGGGCTTTGAGAGCATTTTCATAAAGAGCTCCAGGATATTTAGATCCATTTCACTGTCCCGTCCACTTTGGCTTTTAAACCGCATCTTCAGCCAAATCCCTTGCCAGCCTATGACTTCAGTCCTATAATTTGTTTCTCAGAAACAATCCTAAACTAGTCAAGCAGGATGACTGGTCTCTATTAACCCTTTTTAAAAATGTTCCCCTGACTTTGTGCATGTGATGCCATCATGGATTTAATTGTGACCTCGAAGAGATATGCCGAAGTCCTAATCTCCAGTGCCTCAGAATGTGACCTTATATGGAAATAAGGTGTTCACAGTGGTAATCACGTTAAAAATGAGGTCACTAGGATAGGTCCTAAACCAAGGTAACTGGTATCCTTATGAAGAGGAGAGATTTGGACACAGAGACAAATGCACGCAGCAAGAAGAGACAGAGACATGGAGAACAGCACTAGGAGCTGAGGACAGAGACCAGAGTGATGCAGCTACAAGCTGATGAATACCAGTAAACCCCCCAAAGCTGGGAAAAGCCTGGAAAAGACTCTGCCTCACAGCCCTCTGAAGGAACCAGTCCTCTTGAAACCTTGACTTGGGATGTCGAGCCTCTGTAATAACTATGAGACAATCCATTCCTGTTACTTTAAGCCACCCAGTTTCTGGTACTTTGTTACAGCAACTCTAGGAAACTAATCCTAATACGAATCACTGGGCTTCTCTTGTGCTCTTTTAACCAAGTTCCCACCTGGTTCCTTGGGGACTGACCCCTGACCTCTGTGACGGCTTCCACTCTAGGTTCCAGAGTGCACACCCAGATCCCAAACTAAGGGATAAACCAAAAGTAATAGGATTATTCTGACCAGTTCTTGTCGCCTAAATGATGAAATCTTAAATGTTCCCCCTAATATTGAATCCCCTGCATTTCCTTACAATAATAATTTTACATCTTACTTTTGCTGTGCTGATGTGTGAAAATTTAGAAAGATGTTTACAGCAATGGTGCTACAGTAAATTTAGCAAACTTTGCCATTCTGTGGTTTCTACCTTTAAATACTTATATTTTGTAATTAGCCATCAGTCTCCCTGCAATCTGACTGGCTTGCACTTGTGTTAAAGAACAGCTCAGTGAGGTAGTTGAAATAATGCCCCCTCACATATGTTCACAACCTAATCTCTGGCATCTGTAAATGTTGTAATATACAGCAAAGCAAGACTTTGCGACATGATTAAGTCATGAATCTTGAGATTGGAGGTTTGTCTTGCATTATCCAAGTGGGTCCTAAATGCAGTTCTACGTATCCTTATAATAGGGAGGCAGAGGGAGATTTGAAGACAGAAGAGAAGGCATTGTGACCACAGAGACAGAGAATGGTGTTACTATATTAATTCAATATAAGGTCACAAGTATATACATTACTCTGATCATATTTATAAAATAAATAATTTCTTCTTTGATGTAGGAAGAAAAACAAGGTTAATTCAAACATAACATTAACTAACATGTCAGAACTTATATCTTAAATCCAAAATAAGTACTCGTTCCCATTAAAGGGCTTACTCTTCGGTTCCATGAAACTATTGCATTTTTCTCTAACGAAAACCATCAGACGAAATAAAGGACAAATAGGAATATCAGTTATCTTGTCCTCATGAATTAAAACCTGCTAGGTAATATGGATGAATACAATAAATGCCTAATTTTCTATGAAAAAGAGTTGGAATTGAAACTCATTTGTTCTTTGATACTTCAAAAATGAATGAGCATACCTATATGGGATTATTTTGGAGATGTATATCCTCTGGTACTACATATTCTGTGGTTTTCTGTATTCTACTTGATGAGTAAATCATCTAGATGTAGCCTTCCAGAAAAAAATAGAGATAATAGGGTAAGATCTAGCTTCTATCATTATCAAATATTTTATCTCCTCCTGGAATACACCAGCTTCTGCATAATAGATCTCTTCAGACTCAGAAATTTGCTGGCTTGTCTATAATCGTTGCAGACTACTATTACCTTGGATATATTGTATCTTTTCTTATAAGAGTTCAAAATGCTTTGATAACAATTAAAATTCTTAATCATACATAACCACCACTGACACGGAATGGGGCATACCGAAAACATATTTATCTGGACGTATGAAGGGTTATAAAACTACATTTATTTTCACTGAACTACTTGGGAAAAAAAACAACCATTATTCTATTCTACCCGGATAAGGAAACTAAATAGTAAAATGAAATCTTTTGTTCTTATTCACATACACACACACACAAAAAAAAAATTGTGGAAAAAGAGAAACTGTCTCTGAAGTCCACTTCACAGTTGAACAGCTGAAGCTCCATTTTCTCTTTCTTGAGGAACATTCACTTTCCTAAAATATATTTGATCTGTTCAAGAAATATATTCAGGTAATACTAATCTCTAGCCCAGACCTTGAGAAATTTATTTTAAACTTCAGCCAAATTCACTGTTTTAATTATGCAAGACTTGCTAGTTTAATAAACCTACTCTACAGCCCACTGCTCAAAGTCTTTAACAGCGGGATTCTAATAGAGTCAGGTCCAAAATGCAAATGGTACCATCTGCATCGCCACATCCACTCCAGCAGCACTGCTGTTAAATTAGCAGCGCAGTCTGCAAGATAGAACAGCAGAAACCCCAACCACGTGGAACCAGATGAGTTTCTGTTTAACCTCCAGCAGACAGAATCACATAACCAGTTCAATCACAGCTAGCTTAGTCAATCCATACCCGAGAGCTGTGTTCAATTTCCCTGACCAAAGGAATTACGAAACAAAAAGGGAAAGGGAACAGTGAGAAGACATTAGTTCCCTAAGTACCACTATAAATAGGTTTCAGTTGAGTAAACTTCATTGTCTCTGGTTGTGTAAGGATTAGTTGACCAACCTGGAACTGATTCACACTTTGGGATTCAAGACATAATTACTGCAGAATGATCTGAGCTCTTCACAGAAAGGAAGTATGTGAAATATATATGTTAAATGGCATTTTAATGTAGATTTACATACTGGTATAGTTTCAGGTTAATTAGAATTTCTATTATTTGAAACCACTACTTGCAACTTTGATATTTACAGCAGGTAACTTTGTATTAGTCCAGTTTTGACATAATCTAAATACTAGACAACATTCAACTTTTATCACAGGAAAATTATTTCTTTTTCAATCCATATCACACAAATAGTAATAATGAGAGTTTTATTCCTGCTCCAACTCACCCAGTATCATATGAGACTGACCACTGGGGAAAGAGCATATTTAGAGATATATCCCTTTGGATGTTTTTATTTCCTATAAGTTTCTTTAAAGTCTTATGACTACCTGGTCCACTGCTAGAAAAATGATGGTTGTAAGATGATCAAGTCAATGCTGGCTATTATTAATATGCCTCTAATGCAAGATTCAGTTACTAGATTCAGTTTAATTGAAAGGGACATTAATCATCACATCGTCATTGTCCATCTCCCCCTTGAAGCTGTAGAAGTAAGCTCTGGGGCCATCACAGGCTTCAGTGAGTAGTATCATGACTGCATTTCTACACTAAAGATTTCAAAGGCATTGCATGGCTTAAAAAAATTCAAGGTTAAAAAAAAGTGAATTCTGATTTATTATATTCACCTATTAAAGAAGGAAAAATGTTTGCTAATAAGTCAAAAAATATGTTTGCAGTATTGTCTTCATAAGCAAAAACCAGTTGTAAATAACTTAGACTGTCACACATTTTGAAGTTACTTTGATTCCAATAATTAAATACTATATATTTATGTCTGAAGTTAACTAAAAAGTAAATGTATGTATTTAGACAACATCAAAAATTCAAACAAAGGAATACTAAATATGGAAACTTTCTTTTCTCCTATATAAATATGCAAAGTATACATCCTAAAAAAAATAAGAATAAAGACAAAATTCAACACTTACCTTTAGGTTGTATTTTCCTTTCAGGTTTCTCTTTCTTTTCAGTCTTTTCTTTTTGTATTTCTAGGGGAAAAAATGGAATTTATCTTTAAAAACTCTCCTTGAAAATGTGCAATATAAATCATAGCTGTAACTTAAATGTTATAATTCTACCATGAAGTCTAAATTATTCTATCCAACAAACTTATAGGTGTCTAAAAGGAAAGCATCTTTATAACATATTGCCACATAAATCCCTCATTTATTGAAACTAGGAAAAAACTGTTACCTCAAAATTAGAATTATTTGAAAAAGCTTAAAAACTTACATTTAATAGAGATATGTTGTCACCATTTTTAGTGCTAAAACTGATCACAAATTATAATTATGTTTTATTTCAATTACCCTCAATACAAATTAAGACTCCTTAGTAAAAATGTCATCTAGATTTAGGAAGATTTAGCTTTTACATATTAAATTAAGAATTTGTGAAATGAACTGTAACAACTATCTAATAGGAAATATATCTCAGAAGTATTAACTCTAAGCTGTGTTTATAACCAGAATTTGGCGTTGCATTTCACCAATAATTGCTGCATGCAGACATTTCATAGAATAAGTTAGTTGTTACATTTTTTTCCTAAATATCAGGTTTCAACAAATATATTCAATTTGCTGCCAGCTTCAGTATACATACATTGCCAAGGCATAGAAAATGAAGTTAATTCTGAATCTGCAGTTAATTTGGATAGAAGTAAATCTGAGATTAGAGTTTACAAATATGATTACTACCTCTGAAAAGTGACTTAATCTTAAATACCATGGTTTTTCTTGGAAAAATGCTAATGAGGTTTACTTATTTATTTATCACAACTTTATTCCACAGATGGTCTGAGATGGTACTAATTATTGGACACATTCTAAATTCTCCATTTGAATTTGCATTTTTATAATTTTTCAAGAAGTCTAAAATCAAGACCAACTATAGGAAAATCCCAAATATCTTCAGAAAAGAGAGTTACTGACTTTCATTTACCAGTTAAAGAGATAATCAGATTTGTGAAGATTTCCTCCCCTCACTTTCCCCATCAATCAGCCATGCTATTTACAAGACCACTCTTCTACCCTTATCCTATCCATGACCTTGAAAATGGCCAGGGAGATACAAAAGAGTTAAGAAATTCAATTATATTTTTGAAGAAAAAGTCTTCAAAGTATAAAGAAAGATTTCCAAAGGGCATAGGAAACATCTGTCTTCCAGCTTCTTGCATTATTATTATTTTTTTAATCTCCTTGCTGTGTCTCCAAATTCTGCTCCAAAGCATCATTTCTCATCTTAGAATTAGTGATTTTTTGGATTGGGAAAATCATTATTTGGAGTTGGAGTGGGACTACTCTGTGCACTGTAGGGTATTCTGCAGCATCCCTGGCCTCTACCTGTTAGGTGCTTATAGCCCTATCCCTATCCCCAGTCATGACTATAAAAAATGTCTTTAGACATTGTCAAATGACCCCTGTTGAGAACAGTTCTAAAGATACAAAATAAACAGCCCAGTCACTTTTTGTCACTGTCTAGACCTATAGTGTCCAATGCAGTGGCCACTAGACATGTGTACATATAAAGGATGCAATATGAGTTTAGTTCAAATTGAGATGTGCTTATAAGTGTAAGTACATGATGGATTATGAAGACTTAATACAAAAAGGATGTAAAATGTTTCATGAATGATTTTTATATGAATTACATATTGGAATGATATTATTTTGGACATATTGAGTGTGATGGCTTTATTTATGTGTCAGCTTGGCTAGGCTACTATCCCAAGTCATTCAAATGAACACTAATCTAGAAGTTGCTGTACAGGTATTTTGCAGATGTAATTAAAACTCCCTGGTCAATTGATTTTAAGTCGGATGATTCTGAATCATCTGGATGGGCTTGTCTGATTCCATTGGAAGCTCTTAAAAACAGGCTTGAAGTTTCCCAGGAGAGGGAGGAAATGCTCTGTGTGGACAACAGCTTTGGTTCACGCTCATGTGCTCAAGCTTGCCTGTGATCTTCACTTCCTGTTTGTCCTATAGTTTCTGATTTGCTAATTAGCCAGTCCTCATAATCACATAGACCAATTCCTTGTCATAAATGTCTTAATATACAGATATAGTATAAACATAGCTGCATAATCTCCTACTGATTCTGCTTCTTTGATTGAGCCTTTACTGATACAATGGGTTAAATAAGACATATTAAAATTAATTTCATATTTTTCTTTTTACTTTTTTTAATGTGGCTACTACCAAATTTTAAATTACATAGGTAGCTCAAATTATATTACTTTTGGACAGTACTAGGACAGTACTAGTCCTAGGGGTGGGCAAATGACTTTTTTTAAAACCCTCTGTTCATCTTAAATCTACAAGTGACTTGAAAAAACAAACTCAAAATTCTTCCCTGCCAGTACCATTCTGCTTCCTCCCTCCTATTTAACCCAACAGAAGCTATGGTGTGCCTTGTATAACTCAGCCTGATAAAGTAAGTAAAATGTCAAAGAATTAGAGTGGTCTTCAAATGTGCTGAAGGACTCATCTTTAAGAGATAATTTCTTACTCCCGATAGGGATTAATCTGAATACAGAAATGGGACAAAATTTTCTAAATAAAAATTTTATATGAAATGCTACATCTATTGTGATAAGAAAAGGCCTTAAATCTGTCACTTAGAATAATATTTTTCCCTAAGAGGTATGTGTGCTTGTTTGTAATCCACAGACATCCACTGTCTACTCACAAGAATAAAAGATTCTAGAATTCACATGAAGGATCATACACAAGAATCCTCTGCAGGATTAGGTTTGAAAAGCCGTTCTTCCCGGGTAATCCTGTCAGAGCCTCCTAGCCTAACTTCACTGGGGAAATACGGTGTTCAGACAGCACGGGACTTCGTGGAGCTAGCCAGTCCACGTTGGCTCGTGGCGGGGTTTCCTGCAAGCTAGGTGAAAGCTTGCACATGAGGACAGAAGAAATACAGTAGCAGAAGCAATCTTGGCTTCCCTTAGCTTTAGCTCTTGTGTCCCCAGCAGCAGCCCTTCAAAAGGGACTGAGCTCTACATTGAAACCGGAATTGGAATGAGCAGGGATCCACCTTGGAGCGGGGAATAAAATAAAGTGAAAGAAGGCGAATCTCAAAAAGATTGGGATGCAGGACATCACTCAGGAAGAGGCAGGAGGCAAACCCTCCACTCTTCCCAAAAACAAGGAAGGGAGGTAAGCTTAAAGTGAAAGATAAGCCCTGGCCTGTTGGATATACTTCATAGTATATTTTATTTGAGTAAAAATAAAAATAAATGAAAGTAAAGGAGAATTAGACTTAAAAATAATGACAATACATTTCAAAGAATTTATTCTTTACTCTGTGGCAAATGGAGTGGACACAATCCCCTTCTGCAGCTCAGACCAGTTGCTACCAAACCAAAATTGAGTCAGCTAGGCCAATGCGCAGTAAAGCCAATACACTGAGACCGCGTTGTGGTGAAGAAATTACAGCATCTATTACAGGGCGTGAAGCAAATAGAATAGGCAGCTTATGCTCAAAATACATAAACTCCCTGATGGCTTTTAGGGAAGGGTTTTGAAAGTCACTGTTAGGGGAGAGGGCTCCAGGGTGTGTGATTGACTCTGGACTTTTGATTGGGTTGGTGGCGAGGGAACAAGACGATGTTTTGGGGATCTTAATCATCAACTTTCTGGTTCCAACCAGTTTGGGATCTACTTGCTTGTGGTCAGCATGTAGTCACCATCCTCCACCTGAGTGCGGGGCGGTCTTAGTTTCTGCAGAGCAACTCAAAGATATATGTCAGATTGTTATGTGTATCCCTTGAAGAAGAGGAACTAGTGTACTGTTTAATCACTGAACTGTCATTTAAAATATCATTACTTTTCTTACTTGACTGCTTTTCCTTTGTTTCTGTGTCTCCTCACTTTCCTAATTAGTAACTGCTTGAGTCTACTCTTTGGAACTCAGAGGAGGCCTCGAAGACTAAAGCTTTTTTGTCTACAAACAAGAAATGGGGGTCCTGCTCGATTTTTATAATCCCAAGGATAAAGCCCCAACTTTTATTTTCCTGACTCTGCACTTCAGCTTTATATAAACTAAGACAGCACCACTGTTCTGGGCAGATGTACCCAGATTTCTTGTGAGAGTCAGATTAAAACACACAAACCCAGGCACACATACACACACACACACACACACAAATCTCTACAATGATATATAATGACTTAGGTAGACCTTTTTTTTTTTTTGCAAGAACATCAACTATTTTTTAACTGATGACCACTTTGAAGACTTTTAGTATTTCTATAGAAGTAAGTGTGGACAAGCACAGCTAACCTTGTAAAGGCACACAAACACACATTTCTTTGCTCACAGAGGACAAAAGATATTTATTTCTGATGATTCTGAGGGGAGCAGATTTTGCGACCCCAAAATATGTCTCTTTGGTGCAAGGATTATTTTTGAGCTAAAAGGCAACCAAAGCCCAGCAGAATCAGGAAAGGCTCTTTATCCTCCCTTCAACTGCCTAAATTGACATTGGAAAGGGAGCCTGTACCAAGAAGAGAGCTGTTACTAGCAATACCAAGAAACTCAATGCATAACAGGACATCTCCTCTTCCTTCCTATGAATGGTCTTCCTTCCCTTTGTGTCCTCAGATCCCTATCCCTTTCCTCAGCTTAGGATGTTATAAATCTCAATTACCTGGCTGCCCTTTGGATTTCATATTTTCATGGGGCTCCTGTGTGTGTGAAATTTGTTTGTCTTTCTCCTCTTAAGCTGTCTTATATCAATTTAATTATTAGACCAGCCAAAGAACCTGGAAGAGAAGAAGGAAAATTTGTCTGCCCCTATAATGCAAACTGAAGGATAAATTAAAAGCCTTTCTGCATGTTTTATTGCAACATTACATTTTTGGAGGGGACTGTGTTACATCACCAGGGTCACTGTCTGTGGCTATCAGATGTCCCAAGAATCCAATGTAGCCTGCACACAGTGTGCCAGTTCTGTCTCCTTACACTTTAGCCAGGAAAT